TGGAAGAGAAAGTAGCTGTATAAAACTAGGCGGCAGCAAGGAAAGCCTGTTAGAAAATAAAGATGTAATAAGCGCTGGAATAGTGGGGCGTGGCATGGCGTTCGTCGCGAATGGTGGTGTGGTTATTACCCATTTTCGAGCTACGAAAGTGGTATATATTCCCAATCTTCCCAGAACGGGCTTTCTTGTAGAAAGACGACGTCTACACACCAAATAAAACCTTCCTAAGATTCTGGCGTCCATACCGGAGTACTACAGGGGACTCAGTATATTCCGTATAAGGAGGGTCCACGATTTGGGAGAATTCGTGATTCGGGCGGACGTGCCAAAAAGGAATTATGTGTAGAACATTTCGAAAGAGTCCGCGACTGGGAAGAAGCTACAAAGGACCAGTTGCAGTTCGATTGACTACACCCCCACTACAGGATTCGGAGAGTCCACGATCAGGAGTTCATCCTACTCCGCTGCGGTGATTACCCCTGAAGGCAAATTCTTTTGGTCGATAGGTGAAATTTCCTGTCAGCACATTCCCTCGCCAATGCTCCGAATGTCAAGGTGCCCAGGAGTCACTCTTAATTTAGCGACGTGGCCTTGTGGAAGTCTTGTGGTAGTGAATTAGAAGAATTTTAAGGTTTCTCAAAGGAAAAACAGTGTGTTTCGAGTATGGAAAACGTGTATGCTGCTGGTTAGCGTGAATGTGGATGAAGAATTCAATTAAATCTGGCCCCTGAGAGTCCCCGAAGCGCTTTCCATCAATTCTTTTCTGAACAGTGGTTACCTTCGGGTGTCGACGTTCTCTTCTATCACTTTGATCGCGGCGAAAATTCAAATTACAATCATTGAGGCTCAAATAATGACCAGCAAAAAAATACACACATACACACACACCGCCACACACACACACACACATACAATACACACACAAGCAGTCGCTATACAGTATAATTACTCTCGTGTAAAAAAATTGAAGCATGCAGGCCTGTTCTTCTTTTCCTTTTCTTAAAGCATGAACTTTCCGCGAATCGCGAAAGGGCAGGAAGTAGAGTAATAGTACTCTGCTGTTTTGTTAGTTGTTCTGCAGAGGGAAGACAGGGAAAAAGGCTTCACGAGTGTGAAGCAGTAAGCTTTACCTCCAGCTGCGGTGCATGGAAATTTTTGAGTACATTCGGAGAGGCCGTAACGCAGATCGAATACTTCGAACATAAAGCAGAAAAAGGCATTTCCCTTCCGCACTTCATTGTGGCTCATTCGAACTTTACAAAACAAATAATCCATGAAACAATTAAAAAAAACAGCAGTGTCAAGTAATATGGGGCTAAATACTTGACCAAGTAAACACCTACATCCTTGGCGACATCGAGTAATTGACTACCTAACGCCTGCAAGGGTATCCCTGAGACAGTTTCATCTTTTTTCGGAGTGCGCAGAATAGCTCATCTTTAGTGGGCATTTTGTTCCCATTGACTCGATGCTTCATGACTTCACAGAAGCTCGATGCAATTGCGGTCCAGATTTTGGCTGAGCCACTTCATCGGGGATTGATACTCTGAGGCGCCGCGGTCTCTCTGACAAGACGCCAATATGTGTTTGTGTTATAATCGGCATCAAGGCACCTCACATTACACGTCGGAAAAATTTTGTAAAATACGACCGCTTAAAAATTGTTTCTAGGTGCTACCTCCCAATCCCTTCTCTCATTCCCCGTCCTATCTAACGCAAATCTTACTGAAGATTCTCAACGTCCCTTTTTCCGCTTTTCTAAGACATTTCTATTTCGGCAAAAAGAACTCCGTCCAAATGGGTGTTGCAGGCGGAGGGAAATAGCACGACTAGGCGCAAACGGCAAAAAAACCGCGAAAAGTTGACAAACAGAAACACTTATTCAGAATAGCCACATCCTGCCCCAAAGAGCAACTCCTGCCGCAACCAAATGCATCCCCATCTCTGGGAATCTCCAACGTTCAACATGCCCTACACTATGATAGTTCTAGTGGCATATTTGGTCCTTAATTTGATGGCACTGTTCTTAATTTTCTTGACCTAATAACAGATCTGTCAACATTGAAAAGGCTTCAGATGTAAATAGAATTATTGGCGCTGTGCGGCTTGGAGGGGCATTTTGCACTTTCGTAAATATTTTGGTTAGTTGGTACACAATAACAAGTCATCCTCTAAGAAATGTATACTCTTGTGAAACTGCGAAACGGTCTGAGTGAGCCATTTTAGTCACAGAAACTTACTAATCCTGGCAAGGACAAGGTGGCCCTTGGAAGCTTAGTTGAAGGTCATTCGCTGCTCCCATCAAACTGAACTGCTCCTGAATTTCTAGCACTAGGATATCTTGCAAATGAGCGAGAGTGAATAAGTAACATTGTTGAGTTCCACACGCTCCCCAGAGTGTACCCCGTTTATCAGCGGTTGTTGTCGCAGTGATGTCTTGTTTTTGTTGAAACTTTATATCCACCACGACATAACTCAAAACGGCCAGAGTCTCAAAAAAGAAAGACTTGATCGATTGAAGGTTATTTTGAGAATCTCAAGGGAATGTGAAGCTGTCAGAATTTCTTCAATTCCTTCAAAGTACCTATTTAGATCAAAAACTTTGTGGCATGGACGCAAACAAGTGAACAAATTGCCTACACATGTTTAACCAGAGCCAACTGGAATATGGAATATGCTGTCGATTTGTTTTATCAGGTTTGCAGTACTATTTGAATGCCATTCCTTACCTGTCGTGTTCCTTAGCTAATGTTTCATAGTCTCTATTTTTTTCATTGTTGAAATTCTGCTTTCTTTTAAAAACGCTCCTTTTTGTAATCTCTTCTTCTGCGCCGCGCGTCAGTCGGTGGTTCCTTCCTGTCTTCCCAGTTATTGATTGGTTTGCGTGAATTAATACGCTTTCAAAGGTTTTGAGTTGTTCTTCATTTCACTGGCCGTCATACATCAGAGTGATTATGCTCAAGACAGGGTATGTCATCGTTGTGATAATCACAGCGGGGGTCGCATTTGACGACGAGGAAGGGTGCTCGTTGTTGGGAGGGGGTTTCGTATATGTCTTTGAGAGGAATTTGCGAGTGGGGAAAAGACTTTTCCCCGTTGTTGACTTTTTGCGGTTTTTCGCGTTTCACTAGTGCCATACACCCTCCTAGTTGGCGACACTGCCAAGATTTATACAACTAGCATTTCCGAGAGTTGAAAATAGTAGTTACTTCCTGACGATCTCCTCCCCCGCCCCCTCCGCTCGGCAGCAAAATTTTGGGGAAAAACTAGAAATTTTTCGGGAAATGCTGGAATAACTGGAAAAAGTGGTAGGAAGTTGGGAAAATCTAGGAAGTGGGTAGGTAAGGAATGGCGGGGGGAGGGTCGTATCAGATGATGGAATTGGGAGGTGTCGTATTCTGCGGGAATTTATCACAACGCGATGGCGTGCCCTGGCTCAAGAACATTAAACTAGTTGAGGTAACCTTTGAAAATAACCTACGGCGCAAAAAAAAAATATTTCAAGCGGCGATAAGTGTGTACTTATGAACTCAATATCGATCGAGAACCGGAGGTGTCAGCAGGTTTTAAAGGGCATGTGGGACACGGCAAGTCCAGATGACGGATAGAATTTTGTTATTAAGTACCCCCTCCGCCGCTCGCCCCGATTTTACTCATCTCGATACACACAACCTTCCTTACACGAATCTAATTGTGATTCAACGGAAAGAAAAATTTTGTCGTCGAGACGGAGCGAAGCGGAGGAAGTTGACTTTATCTGTTTAAAACACACCCAGGAATGGCAGTTTGCGACGACAGCTTGGACTAAAGAAACCCAGGCCACTGCGTATTTTGGATAATGTGTTCAAGTTATGAACTTAGTGTCGCATGAAGTGATGCTTTCTCGGGGAGCAAGATAAAATCGAAGCCAATCAGAACATCTCCAGTTGAGGACGCCGTGGAGCCTCACTGGCGAGGTTTAGGCGGACTTTCTGGTTTTATGGCTCACAAGAGGTACAGTGGCGGCTCGCTTGCCTTAGTGAAGCGATCACATCATCCAATGCGATTACCAATGGAAAAAGACGAAATCGTGGTGAAAAAATCTGACTCGTCACAGAAAGTAGCCTTCGAGTTTTGGTGGGCGGGGCAACTAAGGAGGCGTAAGAACTGCTTTGTCATTTGTCAGCGCCTTTGTTACTTCTTGTAAACAGGGTACAGCATCGTGATGTGGTGGTGGTATCAGTACGAGCCCTCCCCCCACCTAAAATAGGGTCTCGGTCCTCGGTACGACCCCTCTTCCCCTACACCTACCTACCAGTTTCCCATATTTTCAGTTTTTTTTTCCAACGGCGCTAGAGCGACAGCAGAAGGTCCGTCGAGCGGAGGGGGGGGAAGTATGTATACAATAAACACGACAAGTCAACCAATCAGGGAATTTTTTTCCGAGGCGCGACAACTTTCTGCCAAAGCCACATACCACGACCCTCCCCTCTCCCAACAACGACCCTCTCCTAGCGGTCAAGTACGACCCCCCCCCCCCATGTCTTTCACACAACGATTTGTACCCTGCCTGTAAAGTGCGAAGTTGGGAGAACCTTCGAGACAGAGGGCCAGACCACTTGAACAAGAAAGGACGGATACGAATTGACTGAGCGTTGGGACTATCTCCAGTACGCCTATACTCAATTAAGAGCCCATTTAGTTGTGGTACCTCCCGTCAGCAGTGGGGTTTGTTTAGCACTCACTTGAGAGTAATTCTTGTACCCCTATTCCCTTGTAATTATTTTTTCTAATCACTCAATGGCACTGTCCCTAACACATGTTATGAGTACTTTGGAGACATGTGACGAATTCCATAGTTCCCGTGTTAACGTACTCACTCGTGCACATACTGATATAATTATTGCCCCTCCACTATTCAAATGAATTTTTAGGAGCGTGCTCCCACCTTCTTCTCCATCCCTTATTTTCTTCGTTTTCATATCGGTTGAGTACCAGAACATGTGTTTCAGAGTCCACGAATGGTTCAACAACAGCAACAACAGCCACCTGTAGATAAGTACAAGTTAGAAAAGATGTTCTCAGCTTATGCAAACGGTGAGGCTAATCCATTTTGTTGGTACCTTACAGGGGGTCTTTCAGCCCGGGGAGCCCACTTTGAGAACGATTTGTTGCACTGCACATTGTAGAGCGCTGTGGGGACCACAATAGTATGGTTAATTTTCGCCGTGCGCTTGTGAAAAGGCCAAAGAAAGACTGAACAAGAGGCTGGAGGGTCGGATCCCCTTGGTGACAAGATTTTATTACTGCAATTCTCTCGGTGCATCAATGTTCTCGTTAAATCCTGTGTCCGATGGCTCATTTCGCGCAGTTTCGCAGGTGTTCACAGATCTTACTTAA